AAATATTTAAGGGTGTGGGCGTTCCTCTTCTCATTGACCCACACCCTCAAAAGTCATGAGAGTGTGGATGTTGATATAGTAAATATTGACGTCCCACATTCACTATTTGACACTATTAATTTTCTTTTTCTTTCAAATATTTAAATTCTTGTTAATTGAATAATTCTATAAACAGATAATTAAATACCTGCCCATCGATGACCAGCAATTACAAGTGGTAAACTTTGATTTTCACAAAAAGGTTTTTCACCAATAAATAATGAATAAATATTTCGTAATTTTAAAGATGCAAAAGCTGAAACTCGACCAAATCCACTATATGTACTAATTATATGTTGTTCACATAAACTGAAAAGAAAACTATCAAATATTCCTAATTGAAAAGCTAATTTTCTATTATCTGCAATAGATATATGAAAAACTTGAATAGAATTTGTTAAAATATTTAAATCACTATTATTTGTTTGACATTGATTTTCATATGATTGAAAACATTCTAATGAAAATTTCCAATGTTTTAAAACAGCTTGACGTATTTGATAATCATCAGATACAAGAAAAATAATTGGAATTTGATTTTTTTTACGAAATAATTTTTTATTTATGTTAATTATTTGTTGAGAACATGTAAAATAGTTTTGAAATTTTTTAAGAATTTTTTCTTCACTAAGAACAGAATCTAATCTTTTCATTGCTCGATCTCCAGCACGAATTTGAATTCCAATTGGAAAAAATTTCGATGATAAAAGTGTTTGTAAAATTTGTTGAAATGAATGACCTAATTGAATATTTGTAGAAGTTAATGAAATTCTTTTCATCAATTCTGATAAATGATAAGTAAAAAGTGAATGATAAAGACATCCAAAAATATTTTCTGGTTTCATTTCAAGATCTATAGTTAGAAATTTTCTATAAATACTTGTATTAGATGTAATTGTATGTATAATACATCCTGTATGACTTCTAAATATAACAATACGTTCAGGACAATATTTTTCATAATCATAATCTGTTTTAAAACGATTAAAAGAAAACATATATTTGTTTATAGTTAAAGTATTTTGAATATTTAAAGGTAAATTTTTCTTAATAAAATCAAATCGAGAAAACCATGGAATAACAAATTCTGATTGATAATTTAAACTTGATTGCATAACATCTATAAAATCTGACCAATTTTTATCAAATATAAATAAACGTTTTGTTAATAAAGCTATTAAATAAGTTGATATTAAATGAGTTATTCGATCAGCAATACCTGATGAACATTTTTCATAGATTAAAAAACGAACATTAAGTTCAATTATACGTTGAAATTGTTTTTCAAATGTTATTGTTCGATTACTAATAAGAAAACTAATATTTTCATGCCATTTTTGATAATTTAAAATCCAATTTTGAAATTTTTTTGAACATACTTGAGTATTTTTTGCTATTTCAAATGGTACAAGACGTCTTTTTCTTATTGATTTATTTGAAAATTTTTCATATATTGATATATTATTTTGTAAATCAAGCCAATATGAAACAATTTCTTGTTCTCTAATATATAGTTCTCGGGATGTTGAATGAATTAAAGTATTTACAAGAGAACATTGAAAAGAATTGAAATATAATTTTGAAAATTGATTTTTATTTTGAAGTAAATTATTTAAAGTTGAATTTAAACATTTCATTGTTAAAGGCCATTGAGACCAAGAAAATAATTTTTCTTGTTTAAAATTTGACCATTGATAAGTAAAACGAAATTTATCATTAGCGAAGAACATTTGATGAATATCAAGAAATATAATATCAGATGTATTTGTTAATGATAATAAACAATTTGATTTTTTTGATAAAAAATTTAAATTTAATTCTTTAAAATTGAATATTTTCACATGAAAGTTTAAATAAATATGACAGATTGGATAAAAGTTTTTTTTATCATTTAAATATTTCAAACATGTTATTTTAAGACAATTAATATTATCTTTGGAACCATTATTAAAATAAATTAAATGATTTTTTTCTATTGATGTTAAATTTAATTTTAATTTCAAATAATAATTATGAAAAATTGGTTGAAATAAATTTTTTTCCATACGAGACAATTCTTTTTCATATAATAAAAGTAATTCAATTTCGGATCTTTTAATTAATATTGATGTATTTTGAAAAGATTTTTCAGAAATCGATTCAAATTTATAATTAATTTGATAAATAAATAAAAGAATTGAAAGAAATATAATAAAACCAAAAAGATATTTAATTTTTGTAATTGAATATAATCTTTCCATTATTATTATTATTATTAAAACATTGTTCTAACATTGATATAGAATACAAAACAGTGAAAAAAATCTGAAGATCTATTTTAATGAACCATTTGAAAAATATATTTATTTAAAAAACAAAACAAAAAATACACTTTTCTAAAAGGTAATGATTTAATCAAGCCATATAACATTGTACTCTGCAAAAAAAAAGTCAAGTTATTCTGACAAGAAACAATCTTTAACAATAGACTGACGAAGACAATATTTTTTTTTTACCAGATTAAGGGAATTCATCCCTCAGAAAAGTGAAGTGTTCTTGTTTGATCGTGAGAGCTAAAGCTTTCAGAATCAAAAGATCTTGATTAGTTATATATACCATAAAAGTTTTAGATCTCTCGATCCATTATGAGAGAGTTTGAAAAGTCGACTTTTTTTGCGCCAGACCGATCGAGCTGAAATTTTAGGATATGAATTATGACTAATACTTACACATATTGTGAAAGTTTCATCTTTATACATATAATGGTTGCAGAGATATAATTTTTTTGTAAT